ACGACGGCGACGGCCACGACCACAGCGACGACGACGACAACGACGACGACGACGACGATGACGGCGACGGCCACGACCACAGCGACGACGACGATGACGACGACGACGACGACGACGACGACGACGACGACGACGACGACGACGGCGAGGCCCGAGGCGACGAACCCGACGACGACACCAAGGCCGACGGAGGCCGACGGCGGTGAGGACGGCTGGGGAAACCAAAAAATACAGATACCGATGAGAATCCTGTGCGCCCCCTCCGGTCTTTCAGGAACTGGGCGGCCCAGGGTGAGTACGATCGAGGAGCACGCGCTGGAGCCCCCTGGCGGCGCCTCGGATGCCGCCCCTGGCGCGCCCCGCGCGCCAGGGACGGGGTCCAACGCAGATCCAAAGAACCCTCGCGGAGCTCCGAAAGCCCATTCCCTAAACAGTGCTTGCGCTCAGGGGTTCTCACTTCGCTCGTCTCCGTACGTCGCCGCCCCGTCGCTGGGTTGGTGTGCCGCCCCGGCCGGCTTGTGGTCGCCGTCGGAGTCACCGCCACGTCGCCGCTCGTCGCCGCCCGTCGCCACCACGTCGCCGGTAGTCGCCGCTCGTCGCCCCCCATCGCCGCCTCATCGCGGGCTCGTGGGCCGCCCCGGCCGGCTCGTGGTCGCCCCGTTGCCGCCCCGTCGCCGCTCGTCGCCGCCCGTCGCCGCCCAGTCGCCGCTCGTCGCCAGTGCGGTGCCCAAAGAGCACAGCTTGTGCCACACAGGTTGCACCACACACCTCACACCAAACAGCTCACAACATTGCACAACTTGGATTGCACAATCTGGCTTTCACGACGTAGATCGCCCCACATGGGTATTCCTTTCTAACAACTATTGGGATCTACCTCCCCCAGGGTCCATCCTTAATACGGACGCATATCATCCCAGCCAAACCAGCAATCCCCCTCTCATTTTTTGAACAAAAATTATGCGCGCACACTCGTGTATCAAACATCATCCGTTTCCAAAAAAGTTTGCCAAAAACACCAAAAGAAGTGCACACGCGCGCGACGTCGCGCGCGCGCATGCCAACTTGAGGCGTCGTAAGGACTGCAAAACCGAATGTCCCGAAAACACGTTGAACACACGTGACTTGCAACATCGATGTTCAAAAAAACCTACGCTCGCAGTCTTACGAATTCGTGCGAACACCACAGGTTTTCAACGGGCGCATTCAAATCTGCCAAGCGGACTTATCGCGCCACATGTCAAAATGATTCGAACGCCCTTGCGCGCGCGCTGCGGGGGCACGATCCGTGTCAAACAAAACCATGCGGGCCACTCTGGCACGTCGGCCACACACGCGTGTCGAACTCTTTCCAAAACCTTCATCACGGACGCGAGGACGCCGTCATCGTCGTCGGCGTGATCAGCATCGGCGCCGTTACTGGCCGTGCCGTCATCGTTGTCATCATCGTCACCAGCATCGCTACTATCATCATCGCGTCCACCGTTGTCGACGTTGCCATGATACCGCGCCCGCCCACGCCCCCGACTCGCACTGAAGTGCCCGCTGGAAGGTGCCTAGCGGTCAGCGCCACTGCGGCCGCGTCGGTCGCGCCGAACTAGCTGGTCGCTTTCGCGCGCGACCATGCAGGGGCTAGCGCGGCCGCTAAGATGCACCAGCCAACGCCAAGCACCCATCGCAAGCGCCGCCGCATGGGTTTTGCAAACCAAGTTGCGGGTGAGTGGGTGGGTGGAACGGATGCGCGAGCAGTGGAGTTGACAACTCACTGCGAACAGAACTTACTTGCATCACATACATTGCACGACATAGCTCACACCCAACTGGTCGCACCACATATCTTGCACGTACACACTATAGCTTGGACCAAGTAGCTTACACCAGACAGCTTGCACCACATAACTTACACCATGTAGCTTGCACCACATAGCTTGCACCACGTCGATTGCATCGCCTAGTATGCTAGAACGCACTGTTTGGGGCCCACGCTGGTTAACAGTGTACCACTTGTCGCTTCTCGACGTGAGCGGGCTTGATGGGGCCCGAGACGTCCCCCGACCTCTCCCGAGATGTGCTCTGACCAGAATTGACAGACGAATCCAGCCGTGGCGACGAGGGCCCAAAAAATGGAAAGACGAGGGAAGGGTAGTGGGTTCGGCGCGGGGGGTGCTAAGGGGATAGGGGAATTATCAGTGGACGCCAAGGTGGGTGACATGTGGCCTCACCAAGCATACAAGCGAGTTGCAAATGCCCCGAGTGGCTTGGGGTGGTGGGCGATCTGGGCTAAGTAAGCCACTCGGGGCACTGGTGACCCACTCATGAGGTGCTCCCCCGAATCCCCTTGGCAACCCCCTCGTCGAGCCCAGCAGTGGCATTGGTACCGCGGGTTCGTGTCGTGCCGACGCCCGCGCTGGTTCATGACACCACTGGAATCGGTCGACCTTGAACGATCGGCCGTTTCCGCGAAACGTCAGAATCAGGAATCAGGATCGGGGTGTCACCGCATAGCTCAAGCCTTGCAGCCCTAGCGCTCTCAGTCAAAGGAGAAGGTCAAATAGAAACGAAAACGAATGCGTGTCAGACTGGGCCCATGCAGCTCGGGTACGTGAACATTTCAACTCCCGTGAGGAGGGCCGATTCTGGGTCGCCACCGGCGTCCAACGTTGCGCGCCAGCGGCGAGGCCGCCGCCAGTCGACACGACGCGGACCTACCGTAGCGGCATCTGTACCTTTTCCTCCTCTGCACGGCGGCGGCGACGGCGACCTGCACCGCGCCCGGGAACGTCGTGATGCACGGGCAGAAGCCGAGGCGCAGCGCCAGCGACGCCTGGTGCGCCGCCAGCGCCGCGCCGCTCTGCGCCGCCGCCCACTCCTCGGGGCGGCCGGCGCGGTCGCCGGCGCGGTCGCCACCTCCGCCGACGGCAGGGCCGCGACCGCAAAAGAAAATCGCGTCGAGAAATTGTGGTCTGCATTCGGCCTCCGGGGACCTGGGCCCCAGGACCGGCACAGTCGGCTACACGCAAGAGTGACACTGGCAAGAGTGACCTTTGGCGCGCGGCTGAACGGGTGACACGGGGTGGTCAAACCTGGGCGCGCAAGCCGCTGCTACCGCTTCGCGTTCAGCGATCGGGAGACCCCATTGGGCCCGCACCCAAAGGTCACTCCGCCGAAAGGCTACCCCTACGCCTCGACGACACAAGACGGCTCGGCATGGCAGGCCGAGCCCTGGGCATGGGGCCGGGACTTCCTGGGGCCCCGCACTGCAGCAACGAAGGCACCGCACGACTGTGATCGAGGCGTGCCCGCGCGCAACCCGCCCCCGCCGACTCTCGGCGGCTCGGGCCTCCTCCTCCTCCTCCTCCTCCCAGCCGCCTCCGCGGCCGCCCTCTCCTCCCTCGCCCGCTCCACGCGTGCCCGGTGCCCGGTGCGCCCCGCCGGCTCTGCAGATATGCGCTCGCGGCCGCCAGCGCTGCTGCCCTTCGCCGCCGATGCCGCCGCCAACGCCGGCGACGGCGTCGACGACACTGGCGGCGCCACCGCCGCCGCCGCCGAAGATCGGAGCGGCGCACTCGAGGTGCCTTCTGAGGGCAGGCACGCGCGGCGTCGGCGTCGGCGGCGGCGACGTCGGCGGCGTCTGTCGTCGTCGTCGTCGACGACGACGAGGCCCACGACGAAGGCCCACGACGAGGCCCAAGGCGACGCGCGCGGCGTCGGCGTCGGCGGTGACGTCGGCGTCTGTAGTTTTCGGCGGCGTCGTCGACGGAGGCGCCGCTCTTCGCCGGCGCGGTCGCAGCCGTTGCCGGCGGCAGGATCAGTCAGCATCGCAACGGGGAATCGGATCTGGTCGGACCCCCAGATCTCCGACGAGAGACTTTTTCAATTTCAGGGTTCTCCTCGAGTTCGGCCTCCAGGGCCCGTTACTCGGCCCTGGGACCATCAGAAATGGGCCCGGGGCAAAGAAGTGTCCCTGGGGAGGTGCTCGTCCCCTGGGGCGCGGATTGGAAAAAACGCACATCGCCGCCGCCCCATGCAGGCGCAGTCGACGGCGCCGACGACGACGACGACGACGACGACGACGACGACGACGACGACGACGACGACGACGACGACGACGACGACGGCGCCAACACCGCCGCCGCCACCGCGCCGACAACGCCAGCGCCAACGACGACACCACCGCCGACGCCGTCGACGCCGACCTTTGCTGACCCATGGGTCCGCGCGCGGCGTCGGCGTCGGCGGTGGCGTCTGTGGCGTCGGAGGCGTTGCCGGCGTCGGCGGCGTCAGCGGCGTCGCGGCGGAGGCGTCGGAGGCGGCGGAGGCAGCGGGCGCGTGCGCGCACGGCGGGGGGTTCGGTCAAGCTTTGTGAGCTTTCCCAGAGCTTTTCAGAAGGCGTCCGCGTGTCTAAGGCTCCCTTTCTCCTCCTCCCCCTCGCCCCCCATCCATCCTTGTCGCCCATCTCTTACACTTCCCCCACCCCACCCTGGTCCGCAAGTCCTCCTCTTGCTCATCATCCTTCTCCTGGCTTAACTCCTCCTCCCCTTCCCAATCGTCTCCTCATCCTCGCCATCACTCTTGTACTAATCCTCATCATCGTCATCATTCATCATCATCGTCATCGTCATCATCATCAGCAGCATCAGCAGCATCATCAACAACAACATCATCATCAACATCATCATCGACAGCAGCATCAGCATCAGCATCAGCGTCTTCATTACCACTACCAGCATTATCAGGATCATTAGCATTATCATCATCATCATCAGCATCATCACAGTTACCATCACTATTACCATTACCATCACCGTCACAGTCACCATCATCAGCAGCACCATCTTCGTCATCATCATCATCACCATCATCATCATCGCCATGATCATCGACATCGACATCGACATCGTCATCATCCTTGTCGTTCTCCTTCTCCCCCATGTTCCCCTCCTAGACCTCCACATCCTCCCCCTTGTCCCATTCGTCCTCAACCTCCTCCTCCTCCATCCCTTTTCCTTATAAATAACTCCTCCCTGTCGCACACCGAAACGTGTCGGCAGGCTGGGCCAGGCATTCCGGCTAAGGCGTCCTCACCACTTATGATCCTAAAGGGATGACATATGAAACAGGTTCAAAGACGGGGGGAGTACCGCTTTGAAAATGGGGCCCTCGACCTGGCGCCACACACACATTCGTTTTCAGCAATTGCCCATCTTGAGGGATGGATGGGGTCGCTTTCAAAATGTGGCTCTCGCACTGGCGCTGCGCACATCCGTCTTGAAACGTTGTACACACTACAAGGGTGGAGCACAAGTCTTTAAAAAAATGTTGCTCTCGCCGTTTCGCCTCGCACATCCGTCTTACTGATAGAGGGAGGGTCGCTTCACTGCGTGGAGGTCGCTTGGCGCGGTGAATTTTGTCATTTCAGGGTTGCAACAGTTCAAGGATGGAAGGCAGCTCATCTACCCTCAGCAACGCACAAATTCGTCGTTACAGTCTGCAGCCGCACCAAGATGCAGCACAGCTCGCTTTAAACATAAGGCGCTCGCCCGATCGCCGCGAACACCCGTCTTCAAAACTTGCAACAGCTTCAAGGATGGACCATATGCCGTTTTCAAAATGGGGCTATCGTCTGAGGGGCGCACTACAATCGCTACAGATGGCCCACAGATCATTGTCAACCTGGGGCTCTCGCCTCAGCGCCGCGCACCTCAGCCTTATAGCTTGCAACAGTTAACAAGATGGGGGAAGGCTCTTGTTCAAAGTGAGGTTCTCGCTTGAGCCTTCCTGAAATGGAACAGGCGGAACTTTATCAGACGTAGCAGCGCACGGATCTAGAAAGGTCCCGTTTTCAACATGAGGCCACCAGCGCAAACGCCTGCAACAGATACACGGATGGGAAGCGGTCCTTTTGCGAGAGGGTGTATCACTGTACACACCGTTGAAGTGTGTGATCACGCGTCTCCGCAATTTCCGATTACGCAGCAGGAGGATGCAAGGTGGTCCCTGTTCGAAGCGAGGCCCTCGCCAAAATGACAGGCCCGTATGGCGCTGGTCGTTCAAGAAGGGGGGCGCTTCGCGGAATAGAAAGGAAAAGTTATACCGGTTTCTTCGGAGGGGACTTTGGGCGGTAGGGTGCACTGCAGCATCGCTGGTGCATCTTGGGTTGACTCTTGCCCAAATCCTCCTACACATGGCCATCCTCATCCTCATCCTCATCATCCTCCTCCTCATCATCATCCTCATCATCGTCCTTATCCTGATTATCGTCCTTATCATAATCCGAATCATCCTCATCATCATCACCACCACTATCCTCCTCAGCATCGTCATCCTCATCATCAGCATCGCAATCATCAGCACCATCACCCTCGTCATCATCACCACCACCGCCACCACCATCGTCAGCATAATCATCGTCATCATCAGCGGCAGCATCATCATCATCATCATCATCATCATCATCATCATCATCATCATCATCATCTTCTTCAGCATCACCAGGTTCCTCCTCCTCCTCGACCTCATCCTCCTCCATCTAATCCTTCCCCTCTTACTCATGCTTGCCCAGCTCATGATTATCCTGACCCTCCTCCTCATCATCCTCCTCTTCCTACCCCTCCCCCCTCTCCTATAATCATAACCTACCGCAACCAGCATCACCACCATCACCTCCAGCACCAGCATCATCATAATCATCCTCATCAGCAGCATCAACATCATCATTATCAGCATCAGCAGCAGCAGCAGCATCAGCATGATCATGAACATCTTCATCACCCTGACCAGCGCACCATCGAAATCAACACCACCATAATCATCGGCAGCATCATTGTCATCCTGATCCTCGTCATCCTCATCATCACCACCACCACCATCACGATAATCAGAACCTGCATCCCGTCCGACGCCCTGCCCAGCATGCACCTTCTCCTCGACCGACGCCCGCTCCTGGGCGCACACGGTCGCGCTCCCCATGACGAAGGTCCCCAACTCGGCGCCGCGCCAGCGACAACGACCACGATGCCCACGACGACGACGACGACGACGACGAAGACGACGACGACGACGACGACGACGACGACGACGGCGACGACGACGACGACGACGAAGACGACGACGACGACGGCGACGACGACCACGGCGACGACGAGGACGAGGACTGCGGCGTCGGCGACGGCGACGGCAACGGCGACGGCGGCGACGGCGGCCGCGAAGGCGACAAAGACGAGGACGGCAGCGACGCCGTCGACGCCAACGACGGCGACGACGACGTCGACGACGACGCCGACGACGACGACGACGTTGCCGAGAGCGACCGCGCCGCCCGATCGAGCGCAGGCCGAGCGCAGCGCCCCTCGCCAATCCGTGTGCGGGGTCGCCCGCCGAGGTCACGCTCGCCGTCGCGGGCGTCGCCGTCGTCGGTATCCGCCGCCGCTGTTGTGTCGTGATGTTCCCTTCCCAACGCATGCTCACCCTCCCCGGTTCTACCCTTGCCCCCTCCACCACCACCACCATCACCACAACCACCACCACAATTATCATCGTCATCGGCCTGAGCATCAGCATCAGCACTATCATCATCAGCATGATCATCCTCATCATCATCAGCATCATCATCATCATCATCATCAGCAGCAGCAGCATCACTATCATCATCATCGTCGTCATCATCATCAGCATCATCATCATCGTCATCATCGTCGTCATTAATCACCATCGCCATTATCATCATCAGCAGCATTACAATCATCATCACCATCATGGGCATCGTCGTCGTCGCAGTCATCATCATCATCATCATCATCATCATCAGCAGCAGCAGCATCATCATCATTATTAGCATCATCACCATCATCATCAGTATCATCATCCTCGTCGTCGTCATCGTCATCATCGCCATCACCATCATCACAACCAGCTTCATCATGATAATTATGATGGACATGTTATCAGCAGCAGCAACGTCGTCATCGGCATCATAATCATCATCGTAATCGCCATCATCATAATCAGCATCAGCATCATCAGCATCATCATCATCGCCATCATCATTGCCACTATCATAATGATCATCGGCATCATCATCATCATCATCATCATCATCATCATCATCATCATCCTCATCGTCATCCTCGTCGCCGTCGCCATCGCCGTCGCCGTCATCATCATCAGCATCATCATCATCATCAGCACATCATCGTCATCAGCATCGTCATCAACATCATCATCAGCAGCATCATCATCATCAGCAGCAACAGCGTCATCGTCGTCAGCGGCAGCAGCATCATAATCATCATCAGAATCACCATCATCCTAATCAGCAGCAACACCATCATCATCAGCATCATCATCGTCACCATCATCGCCACTATTATCATGATCATCATCATCATCCTCATCATCATCGTCATCCTCGTCGCCATCTCCATCGCCATCGCCACCATCATCATCAGCATCATAATCGTCATCAGCACATCATCGTCATCAGCATCATCATCAGCAGCAGCATCATCAGCGTCATCGTCGTCAGCGGCAGCAGCATCATCATCAGCATCATCACCAGCGTCGCCATCATCATCATCATCAACAACATCGTCATCATCATCGTCATCGTCGTCATTACCGTCGTCATCAACATCATCCTCGCCAGCGTCAAGGCCACAAGCAGAATCCTGGGCATTATCAGCATCGCCATCGTCATCCGCAGCTTGGTCGTCCTCGACATTATCATCAGATCATAATCGTCGTCGTCGCAGCCATCATCACCATTATTAGTATAATCACCATCATCAGCGCCATCACCAGCATCAACATCGTCATCATCATCATCAGCATCATCATCATCATGGTCAGTATCAGCATCAGCATCATCAGCATCATCATCATCATCATCCTCATCACCCTCATCATCAGCAGCATGAATCATCATCGTCATCTTCATCGTAATCCTCGTCATCATCATCGTCATCATCATCATCATCATCATCATCCTCAGCATCACCATCATCATCATCATCATCAGCATCATCATCGTCTACCGTGATCATCAGTCTCATCACCATCAGCATCGCCGTCGAAATCATCATCGTCATCATCATCATGACCATCATCATCAGCATCATCATCGTACTCATCAGCATCATCATCAGCATCATAATCATCATGGGCATCAGCATCATCATCCTCATTACCCTCATCATCAACATCATCATCGTCATCATCAGCAGCATCAGCATCATCGTCATCACCATCATCAGCATCAGCATCGTCATCTTCATCGCCATCGTAATCATTATCACTATCGCCAGCATCATCGTCGTGATCGTCATCGTCGTCATCGTAATCATCAGCATCATCATCATCAGCAGCAGCGTCAGCATCCTCATCATTAGCAGTATCACCATCATCAGCATCATCAGCGTCATCGTCATCGTCATCGTCATCACCATCGTCATCATCATCGTCCTCAATCGCCAACATCATCGTCGTCATCGTCATCGTCGTCATCGTCATCATCATCTTCATCGACAGCACCATGATCAATTACCGTGATCGTCATCAGCACCATTATATATCGTCGTCATCATCACCATCGTCATCATCATCATCATCATCATCATCATCGTCGTCGTCATCCTCATCAATTACCGTCATCATCATGATAACCATCATCATACATCATCATGCCTCATCATCGCCATCATCATTATCGGAATCGCCACATCATCATCATCATCATCATCAGCATCATCATCATCAGCATCATCATCATCATCATCACCACAATGATCATCATCAGCATCTTCAGCACCGTGAACAGCATCATCATCATCATCGTCATTGTCATCGTCTTCGTCGTCTGCATCAACATCAGCAGCAGAATCATCATCAGCATCATCAACATCATGACCACCACCACCATCATCATCACCATCATCACCATCATCATCATCATCATCATCATCAGTATCATCATGATTATCATCATCATCAGCAGCATCGTCATCATCATCGTCGTGCCGGTTCCTCCAATATCTTCATCGCTCCTCCTCATCATCCTCCGCCTCCTTCTCCTTCTCCTCCTCCTCCTTTTCCTCCTCCCCCTTCCTCCCCCTCCTCCCCGTGTTTCCTTCTATTTTCTTCGCTTCCCCCCTCGTCCTCCTCGTCCTCGTCATCTTTCTCATTCCTCCGCTTTGCTCCTCCACCGCCTCCGCCTCGTGCGAGACGTGCAGGAAAGAGGAGGCAGGAATCGAGAGGAAGAGGAGCAACCGAAGGACGGGCGGGAGCACGGGCGGGAGTGCGCGAGGCAGGGAGCGAGAAGGAGAGCAGGAGGGGGAAGAAGAAGAGGCGGACGAGGAGGGACGAGGCGCAGGAAGAGCATCGGCCTTGCTGCCCCCCTCCCTGCTGCAAGCATCGGCGGCCAGCGCCGCGGGATCGGCACCGCGCACCGGCGACACGCCGAGCGGCGTGGAGGGGGGCCCCCTCGGCGCGAGGCTCGGGCGCCCAGGCCCGAGGACGCCGGCCGCCTCGAAGGGGAGGGCTGCGGTTGGGCGCGCCAGCCCTAATGTTGACTGGGTCGTTGTATTCGGCGTCGTCGGCGTCGGCGTCGTCATCGTCGTCGGCGTCGTCGTCATCGTCGGCGACGTCGTCTCCGCTGGGCGCCGCTGTGCGGGCGCCGCTGTGCGGGGTGCAGCCACTGTGCGGGGTGCAGCGTCTGCGCACCTCGCCTATGACGGAGGAGGACCAGGAGGGAGAAGAACAGGAAGAAGAAGAAGAAGAGGAAGCGACGGAGGAAGCAGGATGAGGTGCTGGGTTACTTCCCCGTCTTTACTCCTGCCTGACCCTCTTTCCTCCCTCCCTCCATCCCTCCCCCCCCCTCCCCCCCTTTCTCCATCAGCTCCTCCTCCTCCTCCTCCTCCTCCCGCTCCTCCTCCTCTGACAATCGAAGTGTGCCGAGGTAGCTGCCAGGTTGCAGAAAATGACGCTGTAGGCCCCAGCCAGGTCATCGGGGTTCCGGCTGTACAGGTCCCCGTCGCTGAGGCCGGGCAAGCGCCCGTGACCTGAAGTGGGAGGGGAGGAGGGGGAAAAAGGTAGTGGAGTGGGGGAGGTCCTCCTCCACCACCTCGTCCACCTCCTCCTCCTCTCCTCCTACTCCTCCTCCTCCTCCTCCTTCTCCTCCTCCTCAACCTCATTCTCATCCTCATCCTCATCCTCATCCTCGTCCTGCATTCCTTCCTCCTCCTCCTCCTCCTTCTTCTTCCTACCTACCTACCTACCTACCTCCCTCCCTCCCTCCCTCCCTCCCTCCCTCCCTCCTCCTCCTCCTCCTCCCTCCTCCTCCTCCTCCTCCTCCTCCTCCTCCTCCTCCTCCTCCTGCATTATTCCCCCTCTTCCTCCCCCTTCTTCCCCCTCGTCCACCTCCTCCTCCTCTCCTCTCCTCTGCTCTCCGCCCCTCTCACAGGGAGGGGGGCGGGGAGTAGAGGACAGGAGGTGGGAAAGCGAGAGACGAAGAGGAGAGGAAGGGAGGGGGGAATAGGATGAAGAGGAGAGGGAAGCAGGCGGAGGAGAAGGGAGTACGGTGGATGAGCAGGCAGAAGGAGGAGGAGGAGGAGGAGGAGGAGAAGGAGAAGGAGAAGGAGGAGGGAGGAGGCTCAACAGGAGGAGGGAGGAGGAAGCGTAACAGAGGAAGGCAAGGCGGCGGAGAAGGACGACGACGACGACGACCACCACCACCACCACCACCACCACGACGACGACGACGACGACGAGCGGCGACGACGACGACGACGACGAGCGGCGACGACGACGACGACGACGACGACGACGACGAGCGGCGACGACGACGACGACGACGACGACGACGACGTCGCGACATATGTCAAAGTGGGCGGCCCAGACGCCCGCCGCGGAGAGCCAGCAGTGGCTCAGCGTCTCCGCGGCCACCGCCCAGAGCACCATGTACACCTCCAAGGGCGGGGGGGGGGGCGCAGCTTCGAGGCTGGAGGTGGCGAGCTCTTGGACGCCTCCCGGTGCCCCTCGGCGGCTCTCCTGCCCCGGGAGGCTCTCCGGCAGCTTCGCCTCGCCGAGAGCGCTCTCGTGGGGTGCGGGGAGCGTGCCGAGCCGCCGCCCCGAGGCCCGAGCTATGGCCCGAGTGCCACCGGGGACGCACCACGAGCAGCGGCAGCAGCAGCAGCAGGGACGGAGGTCGCTCCGGCCGAGCAGGAGACGACAAAGACGCCCGCTGCCCTTCCTCCCTCCGCCTCCCCCGCGCTCGCGCGGCACCGCCATCCTCCATCGCCATCGCGGTCGCGCTGCTTTTTTCCCCAGCACGGTCGAGCCACGGTGATGAGAACTGCCGGCTTCCCAACGGATGGGAAGGGGACTCCACGATGCCAGGGCATGCCGAGGAGATGGAGCACCATTTTTCTGAGGAGGAGGAGGCGGAGGGAGCACGACCACATAACTTGACACGACTCGGCCTCAACCGCTGTGCGAATCAACAGGCCGCCAGGCAAACCGGGAACCCGACAGAAGCCGACCTGCGACAGGCAAACTCATGCAGTGAACTCTGGCCTCAACGAAGAAGCAGACGTGCTGCATGCACCAGCCTATCCTCGATTTGAGGCCAGGTCTGGTGTGCTTCTCTCCTGATTCGTCCCCCGTCCTCCTCCTTCCCCCTCCCCCTCCCTTCCTCTGGTCGTGTTGTGTGAATAAGTATCGTTGGCCGTTTGGGCCTCAGAGGAGAAGGAGCACAGTGTACGAGACTGGCAGCTGATCGAGCAAGCAGCACGGTTGCCAAAGATCTTCACCGCGGCCGAGCTCCCCGAAGGGTGTCCGCGCGGCCCGACGCGACAGTGTAACCTCCGATCCGGTGGAGTGGGGGAGAAGGAGGGGGGGGGGTCCTGCACCTGAAGAGCTGGAATCACGAGCGGCGAACTTTTCCATACACCCGCCATCGCGGTCTGGATTCTGGGGCGCGACCCCGCGGATACACGGTCGCACGGATACGCTCCGCGCGAGGCATCCGCAACAAAAAAACGCCCCGCGAGGCCGCGGATACGGATATGTCTTCCGCCCGTCATGGAAGGCAGAGGTGTAAGGATGGGAATGCGGTTAAGCGGCGGGGCCACCGAGAGGAACAACTACCAGTGGGTATTGTCGCATGGGAAACACCTTGACGGGAATATGGTGCTCACGATAGCGGACTACTAGAGAGCGGGTGACCTGGCCCTCCAAAATTGATCACGTACTGCTACATGACTGTGGCAATACACATGGCATCAGTCGTGCAACGCGGCCGTGAAATGGCCTTCTCATGGTACGTCATATAGTACCGCCTTTGTTCGTCGGTCTGTTGCGTAAACTTGTTGAGCTCCACGTAGGTCTCGCCAGAATCCGATAGTTCCTCCGTCTCCATCAGCTCCGCTCCAGCGCTGGCACTGGTGCTGGCCTCCTTGTAGGTTCCCTTGAGCGAGATACGTAGCACCCCGCCCTTGCGGATACTAGTGCGGGGGTGAGAAACAATACCCCGACGTATTGCCTCCATGTATTGCCCCTGAGTGCTGCCCCCATGTGTTGCCCCCGTGTATTTCCCTCACGTGTTGCCCCAAAGTATCGCTCCCCATGTACTGCCCCATTTACTGCCCCCTGTACTGCTCCCAAGCACTGCCCCGATATGTTGCCCCCAAGTTTTTATCGCCCTTACATTTTGCCTCCAAGCACTGCCCCCAAGTATCGCGCCCAGGGACCGAGCCCTCTATCCAGCCACGCGCTAGGGGACGAAGTATGACCGGTTCGGGCCCTCTCACTATGATCAGGTCGGCGCTTGCGAGTGACGCGAATCGACGGCGGGGACGTCCTGTGCTGGCTGCAATTCTCCACGACGCAGGCTGTATCGTCTTGGTTGAGGACGTGACAATAGTAGCGCTGGCCTCCCCTCTGCGAAGGCATGCGGCGGAGGTCCGTTTCCGTTGGCATCGGCTCGCCGTCCCGGAGCCACTAGTTGATCTCGATGCGGTCGTAGTCCTCGGCAATGTACTCGTTGCAGGCACCGTGCACTTCTCGCACGAGCGACTCCATCAGGCTAGCCATCGTGAGCAGTCCAGTTCGACTGACGGGTACCCAAGTCTCACGCTCCAGCGTGCATTCCACGTATTCTAGGAGATCGACCTCCAACCTGGCGTAGACGTAGCAGGCCTGGTTCAGGTAGAACATGTCCTCCAGGGCCTCGACGGTAGGTTTTAAAGGTAGCCTGGATTCGCGATGGTCCGGGCACACCCGACCTCTATCATTGGTCGCTTGGTTGATGCTGATGCGAATCCCGCTTTGAAATACCGGACAACCAAATATTTAGAGGTGCCTGCGTTGTCCGTACGGCTCTTGACGAGCACCTGTAGCCAGCAACTGGCACCCCCGCCGAAATCGCCGCCTGATCTTGCACAAATACTCATCACCCTTTGTACGTCCAAAAATTGGTTGGCACAGAATGCCCACTAGTGACATCAACCTTCTAAATGATTGGTTGGCTACTTGTCTTTGGCAAGAAGCGGCACGCCCTAGACGGCGAGCACTTGAACACCTGATGCCCCAAGGGAAAAGTACGCATGTAGACTGGGACCTTTAGTACTTTGTAGTGGCCATGGCCTGTCGGCCAAAACCCTTTGGGAGTTTGCCACGATTTGCCTTCCCAGGCGATGATATTTTATCCTCTCTCCATCTTGAACCGCTTGAACTGGCATTGTCCTCCAATTCTGGCCTCCGGCCTGTGCAGGTAAGACCGGTATCGAAGTGCCTTTAACGCGTACCAGTCGGTCATTCTGGTCCAGTTTGGCGTACTCGCTGGCACCATCGCAGGTGTAGCTACAGGTATGCAGGTATTGCTGTCGTAGGTTGACGGGGTGGTAGCTACCAATCCTCTGTAGTTACCAATGATCTCGCGATTGTAGCTGTTTCGAGCTGGATGGTGTGTACAGCACGTTCTGCAATAACTAGTTGGTCTTGGAAGCTCCTCTTCCTCCTGCTCCACCTCCTCCTCCTCCTCCTCCTCCTCCTCCTCCTCCTCATCATCATCATCATCATCATCCTCTTCCTCCTCCTCTTCCTTCTCCTCCTCCTCCCCCTTCCTGCGACGTCTTCAGTTTCCCCGAGCAGATGTATAGAGCCAGCCTAGCAGCGCACAAGGGCCCCCCCCCCTGTTTGACGATAGCGAGCATGGTGAACGGCCCACATTTCGCCACCTCGGGAGTGATCGCTGGGTGCTCACTGGCCACGACGTAATTACGTGCGAGTGTACGCGGTTCCGAATGTCGACGCGATCGCTGATCCTCGCAGCACCTCCCTCTACATATACATAGATGATGACGGGGTCTCCGCGGGCAAACCCGACCAGGTTCCTCAAGAGATTGTGCACACAGCAGCGCAAGTGTTCGCGGGGCTCAGAGAAGACATGCGGTCCAAGTTCGTTCACGGCAAAGCTTCGGTCATTTGCTCCCCTGATTCACCGACTCCCGTGCTGATCGTTCCTGGATGGGCTGGGGGTACTTTTTTGTCGTTACCGCAAGCGAAAGCGCAGGCGGCGAGTAACGGAACGGGCGGGCCGCGCACGAACCTAATTGCCGAACGCGCCAGCAAACAGAGGCCTAGGCGGCAACTCAGATCTGCGCCAGTAAACAGAGGCCTAGGGCTGGGGAAACTTTTTGGTCCGCGGCTCCGAGGCGAAAGACAGGGAGCGAGCACAACGTCCGGGGCGCGGTACGTCATTAATTGGCGCGAAATTGCCGCGGATTCCAGCGGACAACACTCGCAGCGACACATGCACATGCCAGGGACAAAATGCCCCTCACTGAGACGCATTTCAGCGTTTGCTGGTGACCGGCCCAGTCAGCCCGGCTGGTGGGGAAGCAAAAAGCGCGGCAACGAGGCGGCAAAGGAACCGAGAGAAAGCGCCCTTGCGGCGCCAAACTCTAGCCGAACCGCAACCGTAAGCGAGGCCAAGACGGACAGCAAGACACTGTAACAAGCCGCGGGCAGAACGCGAGTCCGAGCGGCCAATGACCAGACGGAACCCACGAGAGTGCACACTGACCCAGGCCGTCCAAGACCTCGGAAAAAAAGGGGGTGAGCGCGAGCGAGAGCAACTAACTCAGACTCACTGCACCTCCACGAGCATACGATGATGCGGCGAGGGTGACCCGACCCACCAAGGCTCACTGAAGCTGAGGTGTGGCTGATCCGCGTCCGAGCACCATCCAGTAAGAGGCAGACCACTGGTGTGCGCTCACGTGGCTGAGCAACCTCCAGCCGGTAGCCTGTGCGCTCACATCGTATCCGAATCACGCTGTTCGGGGGCACAACGATGCAATTGCACCTTCGAGGGCTAATGGCTGTGGCTGCGCCGAAGATAGCGAAACGAACTCGAACCGCAGAGGGCTGAACCACTCAATGCGGGGCCGTTCACTTTGACGAAGCCAATCACCATGAGCAAGGCGGACAGCCGCACCCACTCAACACCTGTCACGCTGCCCGTGCAGAAGCCACATACCTCCGACGCCAGGGCGAACCGATAGCTGGCAGCTGCAGAGCTGCTGGGCCGTACCGTTCGCTGGCGGCGTGCTGACGGCGGGCCAAGACGTCCTTGTAGTAGAACCATGGCCGGGTCGGCGACGAAGGAAGGACCGCTGTTCCCAGGGCAGGTCTCAGGGCAGACGCGATCCTGCGGCAGGCGCAATGTGATGGCGCTGGTGGGCAGGGGGGGGGCGCAGCCAAAAGCCGATGAACACGAGTGCCAATGAGGGGAGGAGGAGAAGGAGGGGGCGCAGCCAAAAGCCGCTGGACACAGATTAAGATGGGAAGTGGCCGGCGGCCGCACTGCCGCCGGTGACAGCTTATTCCAGGGACGGGAGCGACTTGGCGGGGGGGTGCCGCGCCACTGCGTGACGAACGCGCCTGTCCCCGTGAAGGGTGTACAGGACACGGCTAGCGTGGCCTCAGTGCCTCACACGGGGCACCCATGCACTGTACCTCTTGTCCACGGGAGGGTGAGGCTGCACACGGATAGGCAAAGAAGGTGGTGCGCAGGGAGTGGGCTATTTCAGCCACCAACCACTGCCGTCCAAAGTGGCTGTAGCACACGGAAAGGCGAAAGAGGTGGAGCGCAGGAGGTGGGTTATTTCAGCCACCAGTCACTGCCGTCCAAAGTGGCTGTCGTGGACAGCGGAAGTGTGGGGCCCGGAGGGGTGACTGCATACGACCCCAGAGCCCTCGCTAGCAGTGGCCCCCGTCGTGGGTGGCTGTGGCCGTGGCCCTGTGCGGCAGACGAAGACGCCCCAGTCGGCCGCAGGGGAAGAGAAGCCTGGCAAGGTCGATGAATCCAGCGTGGGCTGTCTATCTGAGCAGCGATATGGTATTGGTGCCCCTCCGCCCCAGCGGAGGTAGCACAGGGTATTGCGGCCAAGGCCGGGCGCTGCAGGTGAAACTGTCCCAGAGGGGGGTGCGGCGAATGCCGGGC